GCTGTTGTTGCTACCTGTGCTGTCCACAGCGCAATGGTTTCAACGGACCTGCCAAGCCGGCCGCCTGCTGGGGTGCGCCCAGCGGGGAGTTGGGATTTTCCTGAGGCTAACTTAAAGGGTTATGAAGGGCATATCACAGTGTAACCATGGTTGAAAACCACGAAGAAGTGCTGATGAAGGCTTCTGAAGGTAACATATTCTACGTATTTTGGAGGGGACTCATCTTTGGGAGTTGGAAATCCACGCGGTGTTGGGTTGGTGGTTTTGATATGTTTCAATGGTGTTGTTTTTTGTTTCAAACCTACCTGGCATGATGATCCCAATTAACTACATTTTTTTCCAGCGAGATTGAAACAACTCACCAGGCATCCCCGATTGTATCAATCAAAGAAGTTTATGGAAATTCCAACTGGTCAGTTTGTGGATGATTCCTTTTTCATTGGGACAGCCTGATATGTCGCAAGGCCAAGGAATGGCGTTGCAGACTGGTTTGATGGGATTCCAAACCGAACTTGCTAACTTGTTTGAAGCAGTTGACAACTGTTCTGAAAAACCCAAATCAACCAGTGAACCTCCAAAAAATGTTTTGCAGCATATTTAATCTTCCTACATGGGATGTGATATGACATTATGTGAAATTGTTGTTTCATGTTCAATCTCAGTGTGTAAATCAATGAACCATTTGAATGTGTTTTGTGTGTGAAGCCATCAACTGCAGGAACTTTCAGATTCCCATCATCGTTCGCCTCTGGTAGGAAGCGATGGAAGTTCACCCGCTTCGTTCAGAGACTGATTTTGTTTTTGTTAGGTCTTGCCGACATGTTGCAGGTGACAGGGTTGATCAGACTGCGGTTTCGACTGGGGTGGACTTCGGACTTCCAGTCAAAGCGTGTCAAAGCGTGTCAAAGCGTGTCAAAGCGTGTCAAAGCGTGTCAAAGCGTGTCAAAGCGTGTCAAAGCTGTAGTACCCTCTCGTAAACTAACATAACTGTGAAAAATCACCATTTTTTATGGGAAAATCCACTATTTCTATGGCCATGTTCTATGTCGCAAACTGTTAGTTTACCAGGCCGGGTCGTTGGTGGTTTAGCCAAGGACACAAACATCTGAAGCCAAGGATCATCGCCACAACGGCCATCAAGCATCCGAAAGCATCCAACATATCCAACAAACCATCCGAATGCATATGGGGTCAAACTTGGGATTACCAATGGAACCACAAATTAACTGATGAAGAGTATTTAAGAATATTTAATAGTACTGTTAATAGCTGATAATAGCTGATTTAGCAATATTTAGCCATTCATTTTTGTGGTGTAGTATCATATTTGGAACCATCGCGAATGATCGTTTGTCGCTGATTGAGCAAAAACAAACCAGCTCCTCAATTCAATTCATGTCCACGTGTCTGGTGGACAATCAGAATTGGTTGAACAATACGTTGGGAGATCAAATGGGCGTCTCCCCAAAGTTTTATGGTAGTAAATTATCAGGAGTATCTCCCGTAATATCTTATAGTGTTACAATATGTGTTGATTATTATATATATATATACACATTATGCATTTGTGGGCCTCGTCGGACGAACACAAATAAAACCAGTAGTGTTAATGTATGAGTATTATATCTCATTGATTATTATCCCATAATTTTATTAATACGTCATAGTGGTATCTATAGCTATCGCTCATAAATCTCCCATCACATCCCCGCACACATGATGGAATATGAATGGTGCTGTCACTGCATGATTATCATATCTTAGCTGCTGATTACCCCAGAAATTGTATCACTAATTCTGAAAAATATCCCATCTTTAGCTGATTAGTTTATCTTGGAGAAACAAACAACTATGAACTGTTCATAACTATTATACATATCATTAGACCATGTAGTGGTACTGTAACGACATTTAGGTATGTGGAGGGCGGGCCAGACTACAAGGCACTGGAGGTAGTATGAAACACCAGTTCCATCCATATATTTAAATGTATAGTTAAATGAATTGGACTCCGTATGTTTAAATGGCCGGGCGGGCCAAGGAAAACCTTCCCGGAGGTAGTCTAAAAATACCAGTTCATGTATTTCAAAGTCCTTTTGTATATCTTATAGTTCGATGCAGTTACCGTACCAATATCTTATTTTTGATAAAGATGGAGATCTAATATTCATACATTCATACATATGTTATTTAGATGTTATTGATGAGGTTAAAAAGTCTACATATCTGCAGATTGTCAGATTGTGGTAGCGCCAGGTGTCCTGCAGATCTGCCTCTTCGCCAGCAGCGAGTTGAATGCCTCCAACGTGCGCAAATTTTCAAGGGAGATGGGATGCCATCGCCTGTCCATTGCCTCCCAGGTAGCCTCTGGTAATTTAACATATGTATGGATAATGACCATAAATAGATTTATGTACCTATTAAAAGGGATGGTTTCCCAAAGCTATGTTACTATGTTAAATTACCAGAGGGTACCTCTCCAGAAGTTACTCTCAAAAATACGGCTTACTGAGGGCAAAGTACCATCAACTTGTTTAACTTGTTTTTGGGGCGTGGAAAAACCATCTTGAACCTCTAACCTGGATGTGCATAAGAGGTAGTAAGTTGTTTGTAACCCGATCATTCGGTATATATTATGGTATATTCCTTACTTTATATATATATAGAACATATTGGTATAAACCATATAATATATTTAAGTGAACTGATACGGGTCATATTCTCTTTCGGGGAGCCTGCAGGGCGCACTCATCAACTATTGGTTGGCCATGCTCTTTGGCTGTGCCGGAGAGTCATTGATGAGCACGTCCGGGAGCCTTGACCATGGCCTGTCCAGAACTGGTACGTTGCTTCAAGTTCTTGTGCATGGGAGCAATGTTCAAAACCCTTGTTGGTTGATTATTGTAGGGATTATATTATATGATACTAACCAATTAATATCGGGGATTATCACAATCCAATATTAGAATCCCGTTCTTAACTAACCAGTATAATGAAACGACAGAGGGTTTTGAACACTGTTCATGTCTCTATGTATCTATATTGGGGTTTCCATAAATGGGGATACCACAATAGCTGGATGGTTTATATATAATGGAAAAGCATAAACAAAAATGGTTCAGGGGCACCACCATTTTAGGAAACCTCAAATGTGTATATATAATAGATATAAACATACATTACATATGTATGTAATGTAATGTAATGTAGTGTAGTGTAATGTAATGCAATGCAATGCAATGCAATGTAATGTAATGTAATGTTATGTTATGTTATGTATATAATGTATGTATGTATGTATGTATGCATGCATGCATGCATGGATGTATGTATGTATGTATGCATGCATGAATGTATGTGTGTGTGTATGTATGTATGTATGGTAATGTATGTATGTATGTATGTATGTATGTATGTTGTATGTATGTATTATGTATGGTATGTATGTATGTATGTATGTATGTATGTATGTATGTATGTATGTATGTATGTATGTATGTATGTATGTATGGTATGTATGTATGCATGTATGTATGTATGGTATGGTATGGTATGGTATGGTATGGTATGGTATGTATGTATGTTTGTGTATACATATGCATATATATACATACATATGTATACATTTGTATGTGTATATATATATATATATGTATACATATATACATCTATACATACCTATATATATGCATATATATACATATATAGTTATATGTACATACATATGTATATATATAGGTGTGTGTGTGTCCCATGTCCACATCCATTGTTACTTCACTTCATTTTGCGGAATCATGAGGTATTTGTTTATGGGACTAAAATTGGCGACGCCGTGGCATTGAAATTTCACCATGGACTTGGCTATCTCTACAGTCAAACTTGGAGGCCGTTGTATCTTAGATTGTTTCTGTCATTCACTACACCCATGCACAGAAAAAATGAACAAACTGAGGTATGACATTCGCGGACCAGTGAGGCAAATAATATTCCTGCTGCTGTTTTTGTTCATGTGATGGGCCACGGAGAAACCTTCGAAAACTGTTTGTCGAATTCTGTGTTTCACAACGTGGCTTTAGGTCCTTTAGGTCCTGTAGGTCTGTTGGTGAAGGATGATCATTCACAGTGTGAGATATCCTGGCCCAACTCTTGATAGTTGGTGGCAGCAAAGACCCGCTGGGCTCCTGCGGGACTCCCGGCGGCCGCGGGGACCCCGACTCCGCGGCTCGTGGAAAAGGGCTCAGAGATCTGGAGAGCACTCCCATTGTTCCCAAATATGTGTGGTTCCGGCACCAAATATGTCTGGTTTCTGGGGCGTGCTTCATGTTAGGGGAAAGGGATTAATTATACTTCACAACACTTCGACAGATTTATAGATTCTTGCATCGAGTCACTGTTTGTTCCACCATTCACCGCTGAGATGAAGAGCAGAAACCAAATCCAGCTTTCGCATGCTCTAGGCTTTGAAAGCAAGAAAATATGGATTTGTCTACTACTTTAATGCCTTTTTTGGGTGACCAGTAGAGATAGGCACTGGGGAGTGGCACGGTTTTCACACGTGGTGCCCTGCATGATCATGGGGTGAAATCATATTCTTTGCTGAGGTGTGCAGGTGTGCATGATAACCGCTAGTCAGAAGGAGGAATGATGAATGTCTCAAAATGGCTGCCGCAGACGACAGTTTGACAACCAATGAAACTGTAGACTCTGTCGGCAGCAAGCAGCAACAAGAAAGACACGCATATAATATATAATTAGAAGCAATAAGAGATTTTTTTCCCCCATCACTCTTTTATAAAATGAAATGCAAATTTGCACCGAAGCATAATTATCCTTGGTAGGCTGTGCTTGGTCCATGAGTGACGTTTCCACCTAAAATGCAGGACTACATATACTTGCTAGATCTAGCCCACAACAGGATCAAAAAAACGTTCACAAGAAAGTGGGTGACACGTCTGCACGCAGCCTCTCCAGCCAGATGGTCATCGTTTCAACCCGCCGCGATGCCGATCAGCTTCAACTTTGGTCCTGAAAATGACCCAGAGCTCCTGGCACAGAGACCGAAGACACCGGTCACTCTGCTGGCAGGATTTTTGGGGGCTGGGATCCTTGGAACGCAACCAGCCTGGCTTGAAGCGCTATGAAGTGCCGAGCCTAGCGCCTTTATTTTTGATCATATAGCTAGGCAGTGTAGGATATTCATTACATTATGATAGATGATTTGAGTCTGAAATTATATGAATGTAATGACACGAATTGGGTACCGTAGTTCGTTTTCTCCAAAGAATCTCGTACGTCGTATGGCAATGCTTTGGACTTGAACTACTAACACGGGTGCCACAGGGAAGCTATGGCAGCAGGTTTTCCTAACATCAAACTCTGTGGGCTCTAGTGGACTTCAGCGGTCAAAGTTGTGTGGTTTGCTCCTATACTTGGGCCTTGCGAGGCCCTGTTAGAGATTTGTCCGTGATAAAACAAACGAAATATGTTCAGTGTGGGTTTGTCTGGATTTTAGGGAAAAAAAACCGAATCAGCCATCCTATTTTTTCATCACTTTCCATCAACATGACCATTTGGGGGGTATTGTGATGTTGTGAGCAAACCTTTTCAGCCAAGGAAGACAACGCTACTGACACACTTGTTGGACAACAAGCACGGCCTCCGCATAGGAGTTGACACTCAGCAGGATGTGGAGACGTTTTGGGAAAGGTTTTTGTCTATGTTCGAAGTGGATAGTGCAGCAGATTCAGCAGATGGCTGCAACAACAGCCTAGCGATACCCATTGAGTCCCATGGCGGAACATGACTCCACCTCATCCACCTCAAATCTGACGCTTCTGCTGGCCATGTTCCCTTTCTGAAAGTAGGTGGTGATGAAAAAAATGGAACGATGGTAATGCCCAAACACATACAGTACCAAGTCAATTTCGTTGGAATATCCATCGTTGTTGGTTGTGTTAACATCTTGCGGTTGTTTAACGCCTTCACTTTAATGTGTATGTAGGCATGTGATGACGTGTGATGACGTCTGTATGTGTATTGAATCGAGAGATTATGATACCCAATTTGTTCTGTTTTCGTTTGCATTCTAGATATTTGATTGTTTCGAACTGTTCCAATATAACTCGTGTATGATCGTGTATGTATATATATATATATATGTATATGTATATATATATACATATACATATATGTATATTATATATATATACGTGTGTATATATATATACACGAACAATTAGTGATATAAATGCTATATAATTCACTGTAATCACAAGTAAATTACAAGTAAATATACCGTAAGATTTCATTTTCCCATTTGTTTGGGGAACAGGTGGTGAACGACCTGGCCTCAGTGAACATCGATTCACAGCTGCTGCGCCATGACCATGGCCAGCATGGCCAGGTGGAGGTGGCGGAGCTTCAGAATGGCCCCTTTCGGTGAAAGAAGTTGGAGATGTTTGGAGAGGATGTCACCTGACATAGGTACAGAATGTTACCGAGAGATTGGATGTTAGATGGATAGATTGATGGATAGATACTGTAGTACACATTGAAAATCCATCAATCTATCCATCAATCTACCCATAGGGAATTACCATTGATTTGAACCCATGGTAGATATTGGATAGTATGGACATTTTCCATTGATCAATATTGAAAACATGTCAGTGCAAACACAGACATATAGCTATGGACAGTGGAATCCCTCCTCAACACCTCCTCAAGTCCATGCTGGAGCGCGGTCATTGGCAGGCAATGCTCGCTGCTTATTGGACTTACCCGGTAAGGTAAATCCAGATAGCTATGGCAAATGGCCTGTTCATGTATATATATATAATTATATATATATATACATATATATATATATTATTTACAGTATATATATATATATGATTTACCTATTGAGTGGTGATTTTCCATAGCAAGCTGTTGAATTGCAGGTATCTGTCAAGGTGTCCAGTCCGGGATGATGACTCATCTTTTCAAGGAAGTCAAACAACCGACCAGCTAGAGCAGCCGAGGCTGTGTTTGCTGTTCCTCTGCGGAGGATCTCTTTTCCGCGGTCCAGACCCTTGTGATGCGATCAAAGGAGTCCTGCCAAAAGTGCTAGCCACGCTGTTTACTTGGAGTTTTGTTTGGACCAGAAAGTAGAAGTTTCTGCAAGGTTTTGGTCTTCACTCTCCCAGAGTTGACTCTTTTTGGTAGTTTTCTCTGGGGATTGAATTTCCACATGTTCGCAGTTTACCAATGTGTTTTCTGTTCGATGTTTTGCGACAAAGAGACGCCATCTATCACCTTGGTGACTATGACTGAAAAACACTGCAATGTCCATGGAATCCCACGGAGGTGTTGGTTTACCGGAGGGGTAACAACCCGACCTAAGCTGCTTGGTGGTTTCTGAATTGTCATTGAATCCATGGTAACTCCATGCAAGTCCCACCAACATTTTGCATACATCTTGAATGTACAGACGTGAATTTGCCATGGCATTTACCATCATTTTTGCCATCTTCCAGATTTCAGCAAGCTGAAAAAGAAGTTTGAAACGAATCCCACCCGCCGTGCATATTTATATATTGACCACCCCCAGTGTCAATTGTATGGGCCCTAAGCTGTGATGCCATCCCCAACAAACAACAATGGTTTTGGGGTGGTGTTGAATATGAATCGGCCTTGTAATGTCTTGTAACCCTTCATTTGATTCGATGATTTTCCCAAGCTCTAAACCTCAATTTATACTGTACGTACTCATCAGTTGAATCCCTCATTTATAGATGTTTTTGTCCACTAAGACCTCCATTTATAGAAATTATAGATTATTTTCCCATTCAAAACTTCCATGTATAGATGATTTTCCCACTGAAAACCTCCATGTGTAGTGTATCTCTATAAATATATTTACATATATATATATATATACTGGTAGTGATCATTTTATCCCATATATGTTTGTTCCGCAGCTAGGACCATCCCTTCGAACACATTTTGGTGGAGCTCAGTGGCGTGGGGGACCCACAGGTGTCGCGGGTAGCTGGGGATCATCATAGCTATCATAGCTGGGTTATTAAACATCCACTGGGATAATCATAGCTGATAAAGATAGGTACCCAGGTTACCCAGGTGACCCAGGTTCATAAACTCAACCAGCTGGGTTCATAAACTGTAGCTAAGATAGCTAATGGGGTTCATACAATAACAAAAATAATAGCTAGCAGTAGCTGGGTTATTAAACATGAGCTGGGTTTATAAACTCATAGCTTGGAGGGGGCACCTAGTCATACACCTCCGTTTAGCTGATTGGCCTATTCTTGTGGCTGAGAAAAAATAAAACTCACATGGGTATGACTCAAAAAAAAGCAATAATATTGTGTAAATGGGTTATAAAGCAACAGTCCTTGGGTATTTGCTGGGCAACATGACTGTGAATTTGAATGATTCGGTCAATATTGATTGCGAGGCCTTTTTCTGACGGCGGGGTCCAAGCTTAGCCATGAATCTATCCATCAGGAAATGAAGATTGAGCAACCGAAGAGTCGAAGGTGGTTTGGGTTCAACCAAAAGGAAGGCAGATTCCAACAGAAGAAATCAGTTTGGCCGGGGATGTGCCATGTTCAGAATTTTCAGACCCAAATGTACACTCAGTATGCACCTGGTAATCAACGGTGGGGGGGAAATCCATGGAAATCCTCTATTCTAGAAAGCGTTTCAATGGGAAAATCACTGGTGGATTTATTTTTTGCAATGATTCCCAGAGGCTGCACCCTGCAGGCCATTCGAGACAACTGGGCCCTGGCCATGGAGTGTCAGCTTCCTGCAGCACTCCTAACGTGCCTGGCGAGGGTCATCACGGTGGTGGATGCAACTCGTTGTGGATATGGTTCATTTTGAACCGATGGATTTGATGGGTACATGGGGCCCCCCTCAGTTGTAAGTTGGTATATAAAGCCCATGAACTATAGACTCTAGTGACTCTAGTCATATTACTTATATCATCTTATATCCATTTCTATCCTCCATAAACCCAAACGTCAACCAAGATATGCGCGCCAACTTAGCTATTTGGGTATGGGGTTAAATTAAAGACCTGGGGGACCACAGGGGTATTTTTAGTGTTAACCATCTAATTATTGGGATACCCGATTTTGACCCATACCCATCTAGGGGGCCCCAGCTTGTACCCTATGGTCCCGTATGTTTTTTTCAAGGCCAGCAGCTTTGCCCATGACTGGCAGGACACCAGGAAGGTGCCAATAGGGATGGGGGGACGAGATGGTGGGCAGGTCCCTTTAGAATTGGCCATGTACACTTAGTCAAGTTGGTTTATAAGTAACTTGACTAAGAGTTGTGGTATTTGTATCTCTATATAGATAGATGGGTTTACAAACCAACTTATAACGGGGGGGCACCACCTTGTAGCAGAGATAGATCCATCACTATATGGAAATCCTGAGCAGAGCAACCCAAATCTACCAAAATTCATGAGGAAAACCAAGCAAACATGGAGATATATGATGTGACAAGAACACGCGTGAAAGAAGACCCAACAAGGAGTTTTAGATTGAACCAACATAATTTATGAAAGCAATTGGCAATTGAACACAATGAGTCCATTAGTGGGTCCTGGGTTCCCAGATGTTGACCTATGCTCATGTTGCTGTGGACGAAACCGACAAGAAATGTGCCGATAAATCCAGTGGGAACTAGAGAGCATGAGGAGATAGCCACCCCAGATATGTGTACAATAACTAATAGTTCGGATAGCTGGATAGCTCCAATTGTACATACAACGAATGGGGAGGTCATTGCAGATCGAACAAGTGTTCTTTTTACTTTTTTTGTGCGTGCTGTTTGCGTGCTTTTCCATTCCCTGTTTGGACCTATGCTGGCGGTGTTGATTTTGAGGGGCGTGAATATTGAAACCACTGGGTGTTTGAACGGTTTTCACCCCATCAGTCAAAAATCTTCACCGAGTTTTCACACGTGTTCACCCTTGATTTGCTTTATAGCTGGGCGAGAAACAGCAAGAACCAGCTGCTTGAGATTCAGGGCATCTAGGATTCGCCATGGCAGGCCTTGCTGCGGAACGAAGCGGTAGTTCATGACTCCAGGTGCTGCTGGGCAGAACTTTTGTTGGGATCAAAAGGATCGATTTGTTTCCGACCTCTGCTGGAAACTCTGGAAATGTGTCGTGCTATTCGAAGAAGGAATAAGGGTTTTTTCCGACCTTTTCCCCTCAAATAAAAGACAAATAAAAGCAATTTCTGTGATGATCCAGCTGATGGGGTTGGAAGCCACTGATGTTTTGCTTCAAACAGACCATTGATTCTTTGTGTTGTTCGTTCCTAACACGGGACACTATCCTAGACTTGATGGACAAGTTGAACAGGACAGCCACCAGCCTGTTGTGGTAAAATGAAAAACTGGCCAGACACGCTGTGACACGGTGTCCTGTAGTGTGTCCCTTGAATCAATTTGTTGCAAGTCTTGGATCTTGACATAAAAATGCAATTACAGTAGACTCTTGGATCTTGCTAGGCAGTTCCCAGGAAACAATACCTGATTGTGGGCTAAACAAAGGTTCTTCAAAGAGTGATAAGCTGCGACAAGCTGTTTCCCATTGCTCATTCAAGATCCGGGTTTGTCCATGTAAACATGTAGAGCTTATTAAAGATATATTAAAGGTTTATCATTAATATTTATCATCATCATGTCTACCACAGTTGACAATTTTAGGGTATCTCATGGTATCTCCATTGGTTTGGAGAAACCCATCTAGATGACCAGCCGAAGTTCCCTGCTGACTGAGCCATCCAACGATTCCAGGCAACATCCAGGCCGAAGTCAAGAGATGGTGGGTCAGCTGCTGGCCAACCAGGTTGAGCTGGCAGATGTCACTTGGATGACTTGGACAGCTATGGAAAGCATCTAAACAAGCAGTAAGCGTATTTGAGTCTGTTTGATGGGATATACCTATATACCCCTTCGTTATAGTTATTTTTAACCGGGAAGATGATGATTAACCAGCGGATGGGCGACCATATTTTCAAGCAGTACCATATAGCAATGTGTTTGTACTCTTTCCTGGTCATGAGTTGTTTATCATTCAAGCATGTATGCCGATTCTCTTGTTAGCCGACAGGCTTCCAAGATGCACTACGTGTGTTTTCATGTTTTGCTCAGATTTCTGGAACCTAAATGGGCAAAGATCTTGCCATTGCACGTTTCCTTCCCAGACTATTTCCAATTTGGGTATGGAATGGTATAGGTCAAGACCCTGATACCCTTCTGTTCACATCAAACTAGCTGATAAATGGATGCTCATCGCGGAAAAATATGGTATCTCAAGGTTATGCCAACAAAGTAGGGGATGTCAAACAATCACCATCAAACACCGTTTTATGTGGATATACTTGGGAAATATCACGGGAATCCGTGGGATACACTATATATAATATAAAGAAATATATATATATGTATATACATATATTTGTATCATATATATATATAATAAAATAATAATAATAATATAAATATATATATATATATATATATTCATGTTCAATTGTATCTGGTTCCTTTCCGCTTTGGGAGTGGGTCCTGTGATCATGGTGTTCAATCATGATGTTTTCAGGGATTTTGGCCACGCTTCATTCCGCATTTTTCTTCCAAGCCGCAGTCTGCGAAACCGCAATTCCCTCTGACTCTTGGATGCATCAAATCCGACAAATAGTGGCTATACCACTGATCAGACTGGGCATCAAACCCCAAAGACCATGGTTTCACACAGTCTAAACCTAAAATCTAGACATTCAATCTAGAGAAACTTCATCGCAGCTGGAGCGTCGGTGTATCCATTGTCCACGATCCACCTTATCAGTCGCAAAATTTAACACATATACAACATATACAAGACATAACATATAATTGAGCACACACATGTGATGCATACATGGAATATGGCAGATACGTATTGGGCTAAGTGACTGGACACGGGTTGCCAGAGCTTTCTTGCGTGCCTCATCTCCATTTTTGCCCTGCGCCTTGAACTTTGACCAGGCACAAGAGTATACCTCATACAAAAAAATGAAAAAACAGGTTCAAGACTGGAGGGAAGGGTGAAAAAAATGTGATCTGAAAAGTGGATGATATAGAACAGGTGGATGAAAAGTTCAAAACTGGTTGGTGGAATGAAGATTGGTATGATCAGCACAGCCAGGTTAGCAATCAAGACCGATTGGAAATAGGAATCATCTCATCACCGAATGCTGGGTGCTGGGAATGGTGAGGTTTGGTGCCACTTGCAAGCTAGGTACCGAGTGCAGCTTCTTCTGAAGATCCTTGTCATTCAACCTGGAATCGGGGGGATTCTCACCTGGCAGGCCCTCACCGGTCTCCAGGTCCTCATGTTCACGTTTCTTATTCCTCTTGGCAGCCACCTTGGGAGTCTTGGGTGCTTTGCCGGTCTCCAGGTCCTCATGTTCACCTTTCTCATTCTTCTTGGCAGCCACCTTGGGAGTCTTGGGTGCTTTGCTTGTCTTGGGTTTCTTGGTCGATGCAGGTGCTGGTGTGGCAGCTGCTTCTGCTGCTTCTGCTTTCTTTGCTGCTGCCAACCGATTCAAAGTCTTCAGCTGTTTCGACTTTACCTTGGACTTTCCCTTGGATTTGGTCTTCCCGGTAGACCCTCGTCCCTTGGATCTGGATTTTCGTCCCTTGCCTTTGGTCTTCCTGGTGGGAGCCATGCCGTCAGTCTCCTGAGCATCCTTCTTGTTGGTCTGGTCAGAGTCAGGCATGCTGTTTAGTGCTGACTTCCAGCACTCCAACATACCATTCATGCTGTGTCCAATCTGAAGGCACCGGTCGAGAGAAGGTGACAACTCCACATTGTCCTTCACCTTCAACTGGATGGCAGCAGGCCATGGGAGTGTGCCATCCAGAATCTTCGCCATGACTTCGAGCTTCTGCGTGACGTTGTCGGAGTTGATAGATGTCATCCACATAGGTCTGATCGTTGAGAACCTGGATCTCGAACTTGCCATCATTCTTATCCTCGTTGTTCTTGTCGTCTGTGTCATCTCCAAGCTTTTCAGCATCCGTCACACCACTCAGCCCCTCATTGTCATGGTCTTGATCCTCTCCCTTGTCAAACTCCGAGCTTGCCTGAGTCTCCTGACAAGGCTCTTGCATCAACGTGTGAAGCTTCTTGAGACAATTGTCAATGGCTGCATGTGTTTTTTGGATCATTTCTCTTGTCACCCACCCCTCAGGAAGGTCATGAATTGCGTGGTTCACATCGGCAAGATCATTTGAAGTCTTCTCCCCCGCATCCTCCATAAACTGCAAGGTCAAGGCAAGCTCATCGGCCTGCTGGAAATCAGGAAAGGTGAAGGGTAAAGGGTGGATTTGTGATAGGTTTTTTTGCGTGGCAGGGATGGAACAGTGTCAAAACTTCAACTGATCCGTCAAAAAAAGATCAACAGATCAAGCCAGAAGCTGCCTGGCCTCCGAATGTGTGCAAGAAATCTCGGGCTGGGTCTCTTGCCAAGTCTCCTCCTCCATTTGTGTGTCAGCAGGATTCTCCATCTCTGGCTGCGTCTCCTAAGTCGGTCAGAGTAAAGCACACATACATACACATACACGTTTTGGGAAAATATATGCAAACCACCTCTATGTTCAATTATTTTCAATCAAAAATCTTTGGGGGTACAATAAATTAGACTAAGATACGGTCTGTTGTTTTAATATGGTTGAATCATAGTTTAGATTTAATTTAGTCATGTGATGTGTGAATTAAATATGGCCATAGCGGGAACATATTTATCAGAATTACTTTTAGATGATTTATGTGATGCCTATATCATCCACAAACATATGATTTAACACAAATACGTCTTCCATGTGGTGGGTTGTGGGATGATAAAACATTTAAGGTCTCATATTTTCTAATGTACTGTACAGGGTCAAAAGACAATACGATAGAATTGATACATTACAGTTAATATTCTTAGGATGTCATAGGGATACTTGATGATACTTGGACAATAGTTGCATACCTAAGGGCCTGATTGTGACAGGATCAACCTATGTTTCCTGGTGTGAACATCTCCGGTTTTCTCCCAAGGTTGAGATTTTTTAATCATCCCTATCCCAGATCACATCCCAAGAGTTTGGGACTAGACACTGGCAGCTCAGGAACGCATGGCGGCGCTTTCGACTCCAAAGCCGAAGCATGGAGGCCCTTGGCAACAGGGAGGGCGCAGAGAACATACATAAATAATCAAATTGAGAGAAACAACTTACCTGATTGATTTGTTTGGCATTTTCATCTAAGGCACATCGAAGCCAGTAGGGCATGGGTCTGAGGGAGCACCACTGAAAGTGCTTGGCCTTAACTTGTTAGGGCATGTGATCCACTGTGAACCTCTTCTTCTGCAATATTGGAAGTTGAATCATGTTGCATTAACTTCTCCAAGAAACATCGCATTTTCGGAATCCATGTAGGACTGCATTTCATCATCATAAAGCCCCGCAGATGGGGGCACTTGATCAGCATCCTCACAACACACATGCACACACACACACAACTGAATTTTGAACATGTAATTATCCACAACAATTTCTAAAACAACCTGTGAAAACGATAATGATTGAGTTAGAACCAGTCCTCATTCTTCTTCGAACGCTTTGATGATGGTCTCTTCATTGTTGAGGTAGCACGTGCCCCGGGTTTTTTCATCACATTCTTAGGTTTGAGATCTCTGGGAACCCCATCATCCCCATTACCATTTGACAGATTATCATCATCGTGGTCGTCATCATCAGCTCCCCCCAAAGGTTCGTGTTCTGAGCAAACTGGTTCATCATCATCATCGTCACCGGACATTTTCCTGGAGGGTTTTTTCATGGGTTTTTGACTTTTCTTGGTATCAGGGCATGTAGATGAAGACTCCGAAGCAGCAACACGACCCGGCAAAGTATGATGAGGATCATCATGAGAAGCACTCCCTCCTGGGAATTGGAGACCCATTAGGCAAACCTCTCAAAAGATATTACATAATGTTGATTCGTCGTATAATATAAATGATTATGTGACCACATATGCGGGCATACAAAGTGTTAAACAGCAATTGGCACCTGATGCTGCTGCAGGCTGAGAGGAGCTTTTCGCCAAACCCCAGACACTCTGATTCCGAATTGGCATTTGAATCTGAACTGCTTTTGGAAGGAGAATCAGAATCATCATACCTCCATCCACCCGATGCCCGTTGACCAGGCTTGTCATCATCTTCATCCGCATTCCATCGCCGAAGGACAGGCATATGGCAGTGTTTCCAGATTACATGATTACATGCTGTGATTTGGGTTGATGTCTCAGGCGATTGATTGGTATTGATAACTCAGGCGAATGATTGGTATTGATAACTCAGGCGATTGATTGGTATTGGTAACATGGCTTGGGCTAAACCTTTTCTAAGCTGGTTGTATATGGTTGTATGGCATATCATATCAGCTCAGAGCCTACAAAAAACTCCTGTGTGGCAACCAATGCGCTGCCATGTTTCAACCATGGGTTGACCTTGCAATGGGGTACTATGAATTGACTAACAGTTCAGCGATGACACCTTTTTGGTCCACCATTCCCAAATATGTTTTAGTGCCAAGCATTCAGGCAGCTTGACTTTTCATGTACTATCCTACCAAGTAGTCACGCAGCTTCACAGGGTTCATCGACTTGATGGCAATCAGGATCACAACATACAAAGCTCGCATCGAAATCGAATTCCCCGCCATCTTGAGCAAATCCTTTGTGAACCAGATTAGAATTACAAGCATGGATGAGCATCACTGCTTTGACAGGCATTAAGACACCATGACACTTTAAGACACTATTTTGTGCTGAAAAGAGGCACTGTCTTTGTACTTGTCGAACATAAGGTTGTCAATGGGCAGACCCATCAGCAGCATCGCCTCCATGCCTGTTGAGGACGCATATGGGAGCATGAGAGAGAGGCTGAGGGGCCCCCAGGCCTGTGATGAAACGCTCTTGGGAAAGATCCAGAATCTTTGACTGGGGCCTCAATGTGAAAGGAATCAGGATGCCAACTATCTAAGGACCATGTAAGGGTGCATGCATAGCTGAGGATTGAACGTTATACACATCAGGGGCTGACCAGGGTGCATGATAGACATGCGCCCCAAGGACTGCGATGTGTTACACCCATCGAATTTCCCATCCATTTGCTTTGTGATCTTGTCCAAAGCCTCAGATGTTGTCTAATTCCAACACCCATGATGAAATTTCAAAATACAGCAGGGATAGATCGATATGTTCATGATAAAGGAGAAATAATGGAAACAAATCGAGTAGCATCCATTTCTCGCTGGGAACTGATCTGCGAAGCTGCCAGTGGATAATGCTTTCGGAAATGCCCAGAAGAGCGTCGAACCTCAGTTTGAGCCAACATATGTAACCAATTGTTATAGCATACTGTTGTGTCTGTCTTGGTAATGATGAAAAAGGGGATTGTTTTCATTGGAGACTAACTGGTTGATAAAATCAATCTAATAAACTACTACTTAAACTTAGCAACCTGGTTCTCCTTGGCCCATTGCTTGTGGAGCACCTTCCACTTGCGATCCTTGTTCTGCCTAGGTTGCTGTCCAACAACATATTGTTGATAAATGTCGATTGCACTTTGAATATGCATTTTCAAGTTCAAGATAGATAGCTTGTGGGAATGCCAAGTAACTTATTCTGTTGTCGTTTGGTCTTAGAAGCACGTTGCTTGTGTTGCGTAATGCTTCTTTGGATCCTCCAATGGTCCTTTGGCATCAAAAGATCTTGCCTGAGCTCTGAATCACAATTCGCCTGCTGAAATACAGCAATGCGTGCATGTGCTGCTTAAGTTGCGTTGATGCAAAGTCATCCAAGATACCATTTCAGGGTGCAGTCAGTTCGAAATCGATCCACCATGTTGGTTGCAAACTGATGAAAATCTCTCCTGGCAGCATTGATCATCAAGTCATGCCGCACCAGCAATATGAAGACACGGTCTCGGCTGATGGGAGCTCCCAAGTGTCGCCTCAGACATGGGGCCATTTGGGGTTTTCGAATTTGCTGGTGACAAAGGTTGTAATAATTATTTGCCAGACGAGTCAGCAAACTAGTTAAAATAAACCAGGCACGGATTCAAATCCATCACCTCCACGTGGTACCTTGGTTGCCAATGATAACCTATAATGAATTTTCAAGCAGTCTTTGCGGTAACTAAAACCAGTTACAAACTATTGATAAAACAAGCCACTCAGGAAGGTGACTTTGGAGAACAGGAAGGATCTTGTCCATGACTCGATGTATCCCCGGGACATTCTCAAAGAGTCCAGACTCGGCAAAGTTTAACCAACCGAATCCAAAAGTGATAGCATGCAGTTGCATTTTGCTACGGTAACATACCGTCAAACAATTGACAAGTAACAGCAGGTTGACACCGCTTAAAATTTCGAATGCATTGCCACATTGGTTTTGCCGCTTCCTCCCCCAAGAGCAAACTTCCATTGTGAAGCAGCGAGTAAGGTGTGCAGGGGAATCCTGCTGCGTAGAAGCCAACCTGTCCCAAAGTGAAATTGTTTTGTCATATGTTTTCATAGTTCATGTTAATTCAAATCAATGAAATTGTTTTGTCATATGTTTTCATAGTTCATGTCAACTCAAATCAAAAACACCATGACCTTGCGATGGCTTTGAGCACCCTTGACTTTGAAGACATCATCGCAACACCTACGCATGATGTTTCAGAAGGACTTAAGGAAGTCCATTGCAGTTGCGTTTCTGATTCAGAACCATTAAAATGCTGTTTCTGATTCAGAATCATTAAAATGCTGCTCAAGGCACTGCAGTGCTTGGCCATGATTCTGAATCAAAAAGTCACGTGCAGTTGCGTTCTTTTCAGAGCTGCTCCTTAGCGTAAAAAGATCGAAGACATGGAAAGGAGGGGGGCCTCACAACATTTGATTGGTTCTAAGAATACATCTCAATTCAAGCAAGACAAGACATTCCAATCAAGGTTCACATATGTCACCAAATGGGATTTGCCCTTGAAAAGCTTCCGAAGGGCCATGAGAGGAGCATCCACTCCCGAGCCTAAGAAAAGGTAAATTTTCGTTGCTGAAGAAAATGGATCAATTGGTGCATCAATTGGTTGCTGTTGAGGTACAATCTGAAGCATAGCCAAAAGGGCCTTGCCACTTCTGAAGCCAATCTCCAAAATCTCAGCATGCTGGTGGCAGACCACATGATTTACCTTTAGACCCCTGCATGCCCTGTACATATTGAGGCTTAATTAGTTTGGATATCAAATATTGTTGCTGTGCCACCAAGCACCCCCCAAAAGACGTAATGGTAAGTCAAGCAACCCACTGCATTCAGGAACTGATGTTCGCAATGGACATAACCATATTGAATTGGCGTAAGCTCCTGCTAGGCAACTGGGGAAGCGAGTATGGAGTAATCCCAAAAGAACAATCTTGGTGCATGATATGTGTGTGAAAAATCCCCCATAGTGTCCTCAGTAAGTACCAAGTCATCATCTGAATCAGATGATGACACATCGCGCCAAACCCCCATGGCCAGCTGCCATTCCCTAAGAGCTGTTTGATCCTGAACGTCTATGGAGACCCGGTCAGCTTTTGTACAAGACCCGGTTGCAATCGCACTTGAATATATATAGATCCCATTATTCATGGTGTTTGACCCACTCCATCCCCTTCCCATTCCTATCAAATCCCAGGTTTTGATTGTGAACAAGTGCGACCTTGCAAGTGACAACGAGCCCCAGAGCACCCTGCATGTGTTGCAGGCTCTCAATGGAACAGCGGAAATATGCCAGAGACTTGACCCCAATATGCGGTTGCTGAGGTGCATCTTGATGTATTCCAGTAGGAATGTAGATGTATACCGTAACGGTAGTAACGGTATATGATTGTTGTACAATGGGATCCAAATCCGAACTCTTCACAGATCATCCCTGTATATAGTAAGTATCAACGTGTGTATTTGAGTATTTGAGCCTTGGGATAGGACTGCATGAACACGGAAAGTGTGATTCCAGGTACCCACAGACTATCACAGATTGATGGTTTTGAAATGTGTCATATGATCAAACAACAAATTATGTTGTTTGCATCCCTGTTAACAAAAATCAGATGATCCATAATGACTGACATGCTTTCTAGGATGACTTAACGCAACAGGCAGATTTCCATATATATATATATATATTACAATAACAATAAGAACATCAATAATAATCATAAATAATAATAATAATAACAAATAAATGATAATAATAATACTATAATATAATAATAATAATCATCATATACGGCAAGACCCTGAGGTTTGCCCGGACTCGCAACGAGCGTCTGGGCAAACCAAGATGACAATGATGATGATGATGATGATGATGATGATGATGATGATGAGGATGACGATGACGATGATGATGATGATGGTGATGATGATGATGATGAGGATGACGATGATGATGATGATACTGATTTTGATATCTTCTTGAAACCTTATAAGAAACCCTAATCACTGTATGATTAGTTGTGATATGTAGAAGCGACACGTTCTGGTTATATGATATGTAGAAGCAACATGTTCTGGTTATTTCCCTAGCAACATAATTGAACATAAAATCCTTCCCGTTGTTTGACCTCGTGCAGAATTCCCTGGTATTTACGCTATTCTGGGCTTGGGCAAACCTCGGGGTCTGTGTGTAATAACAATGATAATAATAATGAAAATAATAATATTGATAATAATATAATAATAATAACAATGATAATCATAACAATAATAATATATATATATACATATACACATATTGAACACCTCATTTGTTCAGTTTGCATTTGCAAGATTTGGTGGTTTCACCAGTTTTATTTGTATATGAACATCCCTGGAATGACTTTCTCCCCTGTGACTCTCATATGTGCTGGTACAACCCTGCACGACCACCATATCTATCAGTTGATGTTGCTTGCTACATCGTGCTACCTTTCTCTACCTTTATAGTTTTTGCTGGTTAAATTATCTTCAATCAGTGTTAATCATGAAACATCATGTCAAATCAATGTGAAATCAATCTAGACAAAAAAACAAAATCGCCGTCTACATCTACTTCTCATAGCAACAAAAACACACACCCCGCACCGTGCGCCCCGACAGCAGCACTGAACGACGGCAGGACCCACTTCGGCCGCGCGCCGGCAGAACGCCTGCTGCCGCTGGTGCCCTTCGGGCTGCGGCCCCAGGAAGCTGGATGCGAAAAAGGCGACTTGGCCGTTACAAAAATGAGGGCATTGCCATGGTATTTCCGCAGTTGATCCAATAAAAACATGGTAAAACATAGGGCTGTAAACATGATGATGTTTCATGATTTTACGATGTTTTATGATCAGAAAAAAACAATTTTCCAATGTTGGCTTTAAATTAAGTTATGATTGTCAAATGGAAAATTGCACTCCTTTGTGGGTTTTGTTTTATGTTTTACAATAGCAACCAAAATGGGAGTTGGATCGGGAGGTTGCGAGACCCGGTGTAAGCGTTCAGGGCGGTTTGCCTCTCCAGATGATCCCGATGACATAGAATGTCAGTTAAAATTGAATTCAAAATGGGTGAGCAGAGAAGTCTTCTTTTTCCGGCTTATTCTGTAGTTTGAAGGTGTAAATTTGATGAAAATGCTGGACACATTACGGCGCTTTCGGGTGAAACGGCTTATGCCCAAAAGCCAATATATCGCTGTCATCTTGGTCTAAATCCTTTACGCATCTTGTGTCTCATGTCTCCCTGCAGATTTGCTGGGCAACTTTGCAGTGGTGCTTGAGATGTTTGCTGCATCAACACTACAGGCTTCCCTCAAAACCCAAGCCCCTACTAGAAACGAAATCCAATGAAAGAAATATAATTATACAGCAATAGGTGTTCCTAGTTTCCCTACTATTCGAAAAACAGTATCATTACTGGAAATCCCCTTAGGACTCCGGAAAAACCGCAGCGCGAAGGTTACAGCTGGACTCAAACGGCACGCGAAATTCAGATCCGAATGCCCATCGAAGAGCACCACGGCAAAGCCGTCCGGAATTCGATGCTTTCAGGATAGGGAAAATATGGGAAAATCATCGGTTTCCATGAAAAAGGCGCCAGTGCTGTGAACACTCTTAATATGTGTGCCTTAGTCGGTGGATTGTATACCCATATTGGTGGAAGGCCATTAATCAGTGATTTGTATATATATATATATCCGTTATTAAAATGATTCCAGTGAAATCAGTGAAATGGGATAGATGACCACGGCTTTAAGCCATATACATCCATGTACCATGTATATGATATATGACTTAACCTTGGCACATGATTGTTTGGTGGTTCAACTTGCTCAAGCAGCCAAGGCATGTCAAGGGAAAGGACATCGAATGTGTGGTCAGGAAACGGGCCTCGACGTGTGCCGGACATGTCTTGGAAGTGGCCAAGAAGTTTGGGGCCGAGATCCACTAGTGACGGTTTATTCTATAGGACCAAAACTGGAAAGCAATGGTTGTTTTGGTGAAGCCGTTTATTTCTTGCATACCCTCATATGACGAAGAATATCGAGAACCACCTGTAATTATGATGGTGCCAGAGCGGGTATATTGGCCAACCAGTCGGCCGTTGTGATCTAGGGCCATCCCTGAGCTGGAATTCACCAAGTACATGTTGACGCGGGGGTTGGAAACTTCTATGTCTATAAACCACACAGTTAAGGCATTCCTCATTGAAAGTTGGTGTCCACCTCATATTTTTTTTTGTTTGAATGATATCATGCACGACTTGGTATTTCAAAATTTTAAGATTCTGACTTGTGAAGATCGTCACTGAGTGATCAACTTTTTTTTTGTCATTTGATGTAACTTGTGAATTGTAGCCGCGACCCTCCCCCATTCACCTGGAATGGTGCTTCTGATTTTCAACTTGTAGTCCAAGTTTGATGCATTGTTCGAAAACCATATATACATATATAGTTTATCATGAAAAATGGTTTTGTACATCACAAAACATGTTTTAATGGCCCCAAGACCTCAAAACCAGACTGGTTGGTAGTTCCAAAAATATGTTTCTTGTTTTCTACGAACACTGGTACACAAACAAATGCACATAGTTTTTGCACCTGTTCGTTTGCTGTAATCCCGTGTTAGTGTTGGTGTGTGTTTTCTTGGTACATTTTCCGCGGATACATAGAAAATCCATATGGTCAAATAGTTGGGACACAGCCACATCAGTGCCATCATTCCTATTCCTTGAACTGTTCATTGGATTTTTTTTACAGGATCCTACCTACATCCCATCATTACAAAAACATCCCGCCGGAAGCGTTACCGGCGTACGAAAATGATCAAAATTACTACGTCCTCACAGCGAGGAGCTAGTTTTTGCATTCAAAACCTCTCCCAAAAAAAGGTCCATCTACTTATCTACTTTGGGAATGACAACCCTTCCATGACTTCAGCCTCAAAAAGGGCAACCGCAACTTTTTCTCACATTTTCTTCAACGTGTCAGCGGTGGCTTCCATCAGGTTTTTCCCTGTGCACTCCCACCGCCACTGGAAAAAACAAAACATCGAGAGAGTTTCATGTTTTTATTCCACATGGCAAACATTTCCCAATCAAACACAAGACATCCCAAACCTATCCATCTAACACGACGAGAACCCCATTCTGAAGGATCCGAAAATATGAAGGAAACGAATGTTAACGTATTCATGTTTGCATGTATCTAAGGGCTGCCGCCCCTGCCGCCGACCCCGGAAGAATCCACAATGAATCAAACCAAATTGGCAAAAATGAAGGACGGAAAAGCATCAAAATTGCGCCCAAAAACTCCCTAATGTAACTTCTGAAACCTATAGAAAATTGGCTATTTTAGCTACTTTTTCCTCCTGTTTCCTCCTGTTGCTGCCTCTCCTGCTACTCCTTCTGTTCAAAAAGACATCTTCAAAACGCAGTTGCCTAGAATCGAACAACTCCCAGCGGCAAATCCCCATGGCAGTGAAGGACGGAAAAGCATGAAAATTGCGCCCAAACACTCCCTAATGTAACTTCTGAAACCTTTCGAAAAGGAATAATTTTAGCGACTTTTTCCTCCTGTTTTTCCTCCTGCTGCTGCTGCTCCTGCTCCTGCTACTCCTTCTGTTCAAAAAGGCATCTTCAAAAGGCAGTCGCCTAAAAGCGAACCACTCCCAGCGGCAAAGCCCCATGGCAGTGAAGGACGGAAAAGCATCAAAAGTGCGCCCAAACACTCCCAATTAATGTAACTTCTGAAACTTTTTGAAAATTAGCTATTTTAGCTACTTTTTCCTCCTGTTTCCTCCTGCTGCTGCTGCTGGTGCTCCTGCTCCTGCTACTCCTTCTGTTCAAAAAGGCATCTTCAAAAGGCAGTCGCCTAAAATCGAACCACTCCCAGCGGCAAATCCCCATGGCAGTGAAGGACGGAAAAGCATCAAAATTGCGCCCAAACACTCCCTAATGTAACTTCTGAAACCTATAGAAAAGGATGATTTCAGTTACTTTTTCCTCCTGTTTCCTCCTGCTGCTGCTGCTGCTCCTGCTCTTGCTACTCCTTCTGTTCAAAAAGGCATCTTCAAAAGGCAGTCGCCTAAAATCGAACCGCTCCCAGCGGCAAATCCCCATGGCAGTGAAGGACGGAAAAACATCAAAATTGCGCCCAAAAACTCCCTCGATGTAACCTTTGAAACCTATAGAAAAGGCTGATTTCAGCTACTTTTTCCTCCTGTTTTTCCTCCTGCTGCTGCTGCTCCTGCTCCTGCTACTCCTTCTGTTCAAAAAGGCATCTTCAAAAGGCAGTTGCCTAAAATCGAACCGCTCCCAGCGGCAAATCCCCATGGCAGTGAAGGACGGCAAAGCATCAAAATTGCGCCCAAAAACTCCCTAATGTAACTTCTGAAACCTATAGAAAATTAGCTATTTTAGCTACTTTTTCCTCCTGTTTCCTCCTGCTGCTGCTCCTGCTCCTGCTACTCCTCCTGTTCAAAAAGGCATCTTCAAAAGGCAGTCGCTTAAAATCGAACCACTCCCAGCGGCAAATCCCCATGGCAGTGAAGGACGGAAAAACATCAAAATTGCGCCCAAAAACTCCCTAATGTAACTTCTGAAACCTATGGAAAATTAACTATTTTAGCTACTTTTTCCTCCTGTTTCCTCCTGCTGCTGCTGCTCCTGCTCCTGCTACTCCTTCTGTTCAAAAAGGCATCTTCAAAAGGCAGTCGCCGAAAATCGAACCGCTCCCAGCGGCAAATCCCCATGGCAGTGAAGGACGGAAAAGCATCAAAATTGCGCCCAAAAACTCCCTAATGCAACTTCTGAAACCAATAGAAAAGGAATGATTTTAGCTACTTTTTCCTCCTGTCCTGCTCCTGCTACTCCTTCTGTTCAAAAAGACATCTTCAAAAGGATTGCGCCCCAAAACTCCCTAATGTAACGCCTGCTTCCTCCTGCTGCTGCTGCTACTCCTGCTCCTGCTACTCCTTCTGCTCAAAAAGGCATCTTCAAAAGGCAGTCGCCTAAAATCGAACCACTCCCAGCGGCAAATCCCCATGGCAGTGGAGGACGGAAAACCATCAAAATTGCGCCCAAAAACTCCCTCGATGTAACTTCTGAAACCTAGAGAAAAAGATGATTTCAGCTACTTTTTCCTCCTGTTTCCTCCTGCTGCTGCTGCTGCTGCTCCTGTTCCTGCTACTCCTTCTGTTCAAAAAGGCATCTTCAAAAGGCAGTCGCCTAAAATCGAACCGCTCCCAGCGGCAAATCCCCATGGCAGTGAAGGACGGAAAAGCATCAAAATTGCGCCCAAACACTCCCCAATGTAACTTCTGAAACCTATAGAAAAGGATGATTTCAGTTACTTTTTCCTCCTGTTTCCTCCTGCTGCTGCTGCTACTCCTGCTCCTGCTACTCCTTCTGTTCAAAAAGGCATCTTCAAAAGGCAGTCGCCTAAAATCGAACCGCTCCCAGCGGCAAATCCCCATGGCACTGAAGGGCGGAAAAGCATCAAAATTGCGCCCAAAAACTCCCTAATGTAACTTCTGAAACCTATGGAAAATTAACTATTTTAGCTACTTTTTCCTCCTGTTTCCTCCTGCTGCTGCTGCTCCTGCTCCTGCTACTCCTTCTGTTCAAAAAGGCATCTTCAAAAGGCAGTCGCCGAAAATCGAGCCGCTCCCAGCGGCAAATTCCCATGGCAGTGGAGGACGGAAAAGCATCAAAATTGCGCCCAAAAACTCCCTAATGTAACTTCTGAAACCTATAGAAAAGGAATGATTTTAGCTACTTTTTCTTCCTGTTTCCTCCTGCTGCTGCTGCTCCTGCTACTTGTTCTGTTCAAAAAGGCATCTTCAAAAGGCAGTCGCCTAAAATCGAACCACTCCCAGCGGCAAATCCTCATGGCAGTGAAGGACGGCAAAGCATCAAAATTGCGCCCAAAAACTCCCTAATGTAACTTCTGAAACCTATAGAAAATTAGCTATTTTAGCTACTTTTTCCTCCTGTTTCCTCCTGCTGCTGCTGCTCCTGCTCCTTCTACTCCTTTTCTGTTCAAAAAGGCATCTTCAAAAGGCAGTCGCCTAAAATCGAACCACTCCCAGCGGCAAATCCCCATGGCAGTGAAGGACGGAAAAGCATCAAAATTGCGCCCAAACACTCCCTAATGTAACTTCTGAAACCTATAGAAAAGAATGATTTCAGCTACTTTTTCCTCCTGTTTTTCCTCCTGCTGCTGCTCCTGCTCCTGCTACTCCTTCTGTTCAAAAAGGCATCTTCAAAAGGCAGTCGCCTAAAATCGAACCGCTCCCAGCGGCAAATCCCCACGACAGTGAAGGACGGAAAAGCA